AGACCAAGGAACTCTCCAAACAAATAAGGGACAATGTTGTTGAGAAGTACAAGTCAGGGTTAGGTTATAAAATAAAATATCCAAATTTTCGATGATCCCCAGGAGCACCATCAAATCTATCATAACCAAATGGAAAGAACATGGCACAACAGCAAACCTGTGAAGAGACGGCCGCCCACCAAAACTCACGGACTGGGCAAGGAGGGCATTAATCAAAGAGGCAGCACAGAGACCAAAGGTAACCCTGGATTAGCTGCCCTTAGAGACTGGAGTATCTGTACATAGGACAACAATAAGCTGTACGCTCTATAGAGTTGGGCTTTATGCCAGAGTGGCCAGAAGAAAGCCATTACTTTCAGAAAAAGACAAAATGGCACATTTTGAGTTTGCGAAAAGGCATGTGGGAGACTCCCAAAATGTATGGAGGAAGGTACTCTAGTCTGATGAGACAAAAATTTAACTTTTCGGCCATGAAAGAAAACGCTATGTCTGGTGCAAACCCAACACATCACCCAAAGAACACCATCCCCACAGTGAAATATGGTGGTGGCAGCATCATGCTGTGGTGATGTTTTTTCAGCAGCTGGGACTGGGAAACTGGTCAGAGTTGAGGGAAAGATGGATGGTGCTAAATACAGGGATATTCTTGTGCAAAACCTGTACCACTCTGTGTGTGATTTGAGGCTAGGACGGAAGTTCACCTTCCAGCAGGACAATGACCCCAAACACACTGCTAAAGCAACACTTGAGTGGTTTAAGGGGAAACATATAAATTAGTTGGAATGGCCTAGTCAAAGCCCAGAGCTATATCCAATAGAAAATCTGTGGTCAGACTTAAAGATTGCTGTTCACAAGCGCAAACCATCCAACTTGAATGAGCTGGAGCAGTTTTCCAAGGAGGAATGGGCAAAAATCCCAGTGGTAAGATGTGGCAAGCTCATAGAGACTTGGAGCTGTGATTGCCGCAAAAGTATTGACTTTAGAAGGGTGAATAGTTATGCACGTTGACTTTTTCTGTTATTTTGTCCTATTTGTTTGCTTCACAATAAAAAAAAAATCTTAAAAGTTGCTGGCATGTAATGTAAATTAAATTATGCAAATCCTCAAAACAATCCATATTAATTCCAGGTTGTGAGGCAACAAAACACGAAAAATGCCAAAAGGTAGAATACTTTTGTAACGCACTGTATATATATATATATATATATTTTTTTTTTTTTTTTTTACTGGAACTCCATTTTTCCTAAAGATATTGTAGTTGAGTGTAGATTAATCTCTATCTTCACAAAAATGCATAAGTATCAAAATAAAATTAGGTAAAAATTGGTGCTGTAAAAGTGATGCTCCCTCGATAAATATTTCTCCTAAGACAGTCTTTTTTTAGTGATAGACAAGAATCATCAAATACTATTATATTTTGGTATTATATATTATTTTTTTCTAATTAAAGTTTTATATAAACTTTACTTTTTCAATAACAAAGAAGAGTGCGGCTAATTTAAACTGTCCACATTATTTTAATGTTATCAATTTTATTATGTACAGCTTTGCGATAATCATATTTTGTTCATTTCAAAGCATTAAATCCATGATGCAAGTAAGACATCTTCACAACTTTTTTAACAATAACATAAGGAAGTCCAGTGATGCTTGAGATTACCTTTTTCTGTTCTCTAGTGATCTAGAATTAGAAATGTAATAGAGTGGTAAAAACTAAATTGTCTTTTTCAGTCATGTCAAAGAGATCTTTAGTATTATATATTTATGAAATATAACAGTAATGAAATGATCTCATATTCTTGAATGCAACAACATTTTTTTCTATTTCCCCTATGGCTGCAACGTTCTATAACATCACAATGAAGCATTCAGATTGTGTTAAAACTGCAAATTAAATGACTTCTTTGTGGGTAGTGAGTACATACAGAAAGATAATGCTATAAGTTTGTGTGTAGCATATATACTGGCTCTAATAATAATATACATATACAAAGTGTGCACTTTGTCAGGCTGATATATATATATATATATATATATATATATATTCTAATTCTCTGTTTTCCTCATACATGTAGCTGTGAAGGTAGGGACATGTAAAAAAAAAAAAAGTTAATATTCATCTTAATAATATATTGGTCCACTGGCATCACTGTGATTACCTTTTAAATCAGAGATCAGAATATAGAAGGGCATGTGTTGATGCCCTACCAATTCCCAGAGATCACATAGTGGAAGAGGGTTGCTGTGGTGATTAGCTCATAGACCTGGCTAGTAGCACATGTATGTATATGCAAAAGGTGCTGCAGTCTGAGGTCCATTTTAAAGGGGGGAAAAGTACATTGTTTGCAATATCAATATGTCAAGTTGGTATGTGTGTGTGTGTGTGTATGTATGTATGTATGTGTGTGTGTGTATATATATATATATATATATATGTGTGGGTATGTGTGTGTATGTATATGTATATATATAACAAGTACATATATAAGGCTTGCATTTCATTTTATTCACATTGAAAGTTGCCAGATTGGTTACGTTGCCTTTGAGACCGTATGGTAGCCCAGGAATGAAAATTACTCCCATGATGGCATACCATTTGCAATAGTAGACAACCCAAGGTATTGCAAATGGGGTATGTACAGCCTTTTTTATATATATTTTTTTTAGAAGACACTTAGTCGCAAATGGAAGACGAATAGATTGGTCGAAAGGCGTTGTGTTATATTTTTATCTTCTAATAAAGAGATATTTTGCATTTTATATTTGGTTCCTGTACTTTCATCCAGACAAAAATCAAATTTGTTTCCTGGAGTACCTGCATCTCTATTCCAGCATTCATACTGGATTTAGCTACACGCTACTACAGTTTAGAGCTGCCTCACATGACTCTTTAGATTGTGAGTGCTCCAGGTTACGTTTTATTCTATATTTTTTACATATATATTGCCCTATTATGGTCTTTTATACATTGCAGATATAAATACAGTAACTAACACTGGCCAAAACTGGCATTCAGATTAGTTTTTTGCATTTTTCACACACAAACAAATATTAACGCTAACTTTGGCCAGTGTTTGTGACCAAGTGTGTACAGGTTTTATGGTGTCTTGGAAAGTTACAGGGTTAAATATAGTGCTATCAAATTAAATTCTCTGGACTTTCTGCCTGGGTTATCAGGCAGGTCTGGCAAATTGTAATTAATAAAATGACTTAATTATGAAAAATATAACATAAATGTATATGTAGAAATTAAATATATATATATATATATTTTTATTTTTTTTTAATTATTTTTATTTATAAATATAGTGATATATACATATATATTTATGTATATATATATATATATATATATATATATATATATATATATAATTTCGTTCTAAGTGTATTTTGACATCAATATAATGTATGTATGTATATGTATGTATGTATATGGAAAACGATGAAGAGAGCACTCCAGAGGATTTTGAAAAAAATCCTCCGGAGTGCTCTCTTCATCGTTTTCCATATTTATTTACGCTGTGCAGCACCGAGGTTATTACAGAAGCTGATTTAAAGGTAGAGTGCCAGATTTCCATGTATGTATGTATGTATGTATGTGTATGTGTGTGTGTGTATATATATATATATATATATTTATATTTGTGGTCAGTTAATATCGATACCATGAAATACCTTGTGATTGGAATTAAGTCGGTGTGGTGTGCTGGAACCGACGTAGGGGTAGGCCTGTAAAAGATGGCCCTCCCAAATGGATTGTTTAAGAGGGTGAGGTGGGTGGGGTGAACAGCGTGCATATATGGCAAGGTAGGAAGGGGGAGTAGTGTTTATATAGGAACACTAACTCCTCCTACAAATACAGGCCTTCGGCCTTAAACTTGTGGTTGGTTAATATCGATACCGTAAATACCTTGTGATTGGAATTAAGTCGGTGTGGTGTGCCGGAACCAACGTAGGGGTAGGCCTGTAAAAGAGTGCAAAAGGAAATGCCAGAAAAACACCCTTATTGCAATATAATTATCACATAAGATTTGTTTGCCTTACCTCTTATCCGTTGTGGAATGTTTCTGTATAACATAGCTGATTCCCAGTGAACCTAATTTATTAAGTGTACCGGCATACTGTTACTGGATGCGGTACTTAAATTGAATGGATGTCCTAAATAGGAGTTTGGGTCCCAACCTAATCTAATGCAAGGAGTACGAATGTAGAACCGCATTTAGAAGTAGTTAGGGGATTATTTAGTAGAGCAAGTGTCTAATTGTCTGGATTGAATGTTGGCGTGGCATGAGGTAGTGTCTGTACCTTCTTAAATTTTCTTTGAGGAGACCTGATTAGCCAGTCTGATTAGCTGTGATCGTGAAGTTGTAGGGCTCCGGAACCCTTGGAAAGTTAAAGGCACAGAGGTTTAAGACCGGGTTTGTGTGGTATGGGTGCTGTCTAGGGAGTCTGATACTGCCCGGAATTCCCATCCATGCATGTATGTTATTGTGGAGTGATGAAGAAATTATTATTTATACCTTGATATTCCAAGGTAAGCATTAAGAAGACGTGATGTTGTATGTCTGATTAGTATAGTGTGATAGTGTTGTATGAAGGTTTGAATGAAAGGTGGCAAAAAAAGTAGCATAATAGACTACAGTTTGAACAGTATGCCTGTGGATGTTGTGATCCACTGAGTCCTGGAAGAATGTCTAGTCTCTGTCGTATGTATTCTTAGTGAAAGCGAATACCGCTATAGGTGATAACTTGTTGTCGAGTCACAGTAGCCGGGCGACCGGATGTGGATGTTGAAATGCAGATTATGCTCAGGTGTTTGTCTGTTGGGTCAGGTACGAGACCGAGTCTCGTGACTAGGATAGTGACTTCATCTATACAAAAGATTGGGAGTTGGTCGGAACCGGGCGGGATGAGCCCAGAACCTAATTCCAAGCTCTAATGACTCTCCCTACCTGACCAGGTCTGTCTTGCCAGAGGATCTAATAACACTATCTCCATCAGTCAACCTGAGCGAGCATGCCAGTAAATGAATGAACTGCCCAGCGGGATAGCGCACATAGTGATGTACAAAATCCTGCAAAGATTGCAGGTCTTTCAATTTTAAATTCCCCCGCTGACGGGACTCGTTCGTCTTCACGACTGCACACGATCTTATCCTCGGGAGACTTGACTGTATGGTACCGTAATTGGTATGGACCTATGACACGAATACTGTAAGAGAATTAGGTGGATGATATGAGGGAGTTAAGGCCTAGGTTGCGACTGAATGAGGAGCAGGCAGATCAATGGTGAGATTTTTTTATTTTTTTATTGGAGTATTGCTGGTAGTTAATAGTGTATGATACGTGCCTAGCCTAGGAGAATGGAACATCTACATCTACTGGGAGTTACCCAACCCAATGTGGAACCCATGTATAACGATTAAAACACCAAGTGCGGAGACGGATGTGACTCATGCATATCGTGAAAGTTTATTCCCTCTGTACTCAAAATCTTTGATTATAATATATACAGGCAGATGGTTTTGACATGAGCCCAGAGGCATATGGCACATACGTGAAGCAATTCGCAGTTGGTAGAACTACATATGCCTGTGTTGAAATCAGCGCAAATTAGCGGGTGAGTACTCAGAAAGTGAGGGGAGGTGAAAGGTGATGCGGGGGGCCAACCCTGCTCGTAGTTGGAAGTAAGTGTGTGTGTGTATGGACCCTACAGGAGGAGGGCCTATCTGAGCCGGGATGGTGCTCTCTAATTTAGACAGTCTATTATTGAAGGACTGAAGTGTTGCCCGATTGAGTTTAGGTCTCCTATAATGTCTGAGATTACTCCTTGTGAGCTGGTCCCCAAGAGCTGGTTCTAAGTGTCTGACTCAGTGGTTGCGCTAGGGAGGGATGTCTTTGTCCGATGCTGCCTTCTTGGGACATACTGAAAAAGAATATCACAACAACAATGAACTGATTAATAACAATACGGTTGAGAAATGTAGAACTGGCTGGCTAACTAGTGCCGAAGCGAAAAGCTCTCTACCCGTGAGCCCCTGCTAGTCGCCAAGTGGCTGGTGACAGGCTCTACCAATGATTTGGGCGTGGGGCTCGAGCCACTAGCGTGGTAGCGGGGTGTTGGCCTCTCGGTGACAGTAAAGGAGCTGTGGCAGAGGGAGAGGAGAGAGAGAAAATTACATTTGGCACCGTGTAGTTCTTAGGGTGCTGAAGATTCCCCTGGTAGCTACTATATACCGCTGCAAGGAGATTTAGGAAGGCGCAATGCCGTGAAAGCATGGTAGTACGTGGCAGAAAGTGGAAGGTGAAATGAGCAAGGTTTGTTAGAAACCGGATGATTGTTTGTAGATAGTGAGTTTGAATAAACGTACGACGTGTTATCGAGTAGAGCCGTGGCATGTCGAGGCAAGGCGGGAATCAAGCCCCTGTACCCTAATACCCCATTGTGTAAATGCGTGGCCTTGTTGAGGCAGTTGATTGAAATGTGAACGAAATGTGTTTGTACCTGATAGAGACAGGAGACATTAAAGAACCAGTAACTGTCTCCTGGTAGAATGCTGTCCGAAACCTGAAAGTAAGGTGCTGTCTTAGAAGGGAAAAGACCTCCTTTAGGTGACCTTTAAATATATAACAGCCTTCTCTTAATTTGTGGTATTAAATTACGCCAACCATGTAATTAGCTTAATCAGATGTTGTTTAGCAGATGGTAATAGGCAACCTCCATATAAATTAGTGAAACATATATAAATGTAATGGAGATTGTTCAATTGCAAAATGCCAAACTTATCCACCTGCATCATCTGACAACGTTTTAATGTATTAACGTCATAATGTTGGAATTAAAGTAGGGGCATTCTTACCCAGAGGGAGGGAATTAAATGTACGGATTTTAACTAGTTTAGGCTTAAAATGAAAAAGACAATCGACATTCCCCCTTCTTAGCAGGTAATAGTTATATAGCCATCAGTTCCTTGTGTACTTACGTACCCATAATTAATTACCAGAATAGTGCATGAATAGAATAGACAATGTTGTTAAAGATTCACTCAACCTAGCCGGATGAAACAGTAAATGCATGATACATCATATTGGATGTAATTATAGAAAGGAACTAGGTATAGCAGGTGTGACGGGTGTATGTTTATTTAACATTAGTAATTCCCCTATCGTGCTTAAAGCGTGGAGGGAAAATGGTGAAGGAATGAAAGGTTTTAAAGGAGATCAGGATGTTTGTTGCGAGAGAGCGCTGATGATAATGTATGACGAGTAGTCAAGTGACGCCGTGGCCTGACGAGGCAAGGCGAGTGGTCAAACCCCTGTATGTTAACATCCCCCGTATGTTAGTAATAACTGGGTTGTAGTAAATGCTCTTGCGCAACCTGAAATTGAGCTAGCACTATTAGGTACTATTAGGTATATCAAGTGTTTGTTTGTATTAATGTTCGTAACATGAGTTGAGCATGTCAGATGGTGAAAAGCCTGAACAGAGGGGATTTAAATTTATATACCAGAAATTGCGTCATATTTTCACTGTAATCTGTCTTAATTGTTGACAGATAAAGTAATATATTACATTCAGTGGTTAACTTCATTTGTTTAACTTAAACACATAGCATAGTAATTGCATGAATTGACTTGATTGACACAAATGTTGTCTGACCAGATAGTGAAAATCGTTGCACTGGTTAGTGATGGAAAATTAATTAATCTTTGAGACCACAAGTACTGTGGAGGGGAAATGATCCTTGAAATAACCGAACTAGTAACATAACAATTCATACGAATGCAGATGTCAGGACTTAAGTATACTGATGCCAGGGGCCACGTGCCAACCAGCTAGAACCATATGAAAATCAGTGTGCGAACGTGAAGTTGTACGAACGGTGGGGAAACTAACGAAGATATACAAATTGGCCATTTGTTCGTGTGAACAAGAAAGCAAGTAAAAAAAAAAACAACTTACGACATGATTGAGAATGTCGAACGGCAAATAGCCCGAACGCGGCTATTTGCCGATTACCTGCATTCGTATGTGTCATGCAGAAGTTAATTGTGAGTGGGGTATACGCTTGGTATCATTGAGTGACACTATACAACCAGGCTCAGGACGGATCCTGAGTGAGCATGTACGGAGACAGTGCACATTGTTCCATATACAGAACCTGTTATTCACCCCCTCCCTTATTATGAAACACATGCCACAAAATCACCAAATCCAGAAAAATGAAACACAGAAATCATTGAAACCATAGACAGAAAAATGCACGAATGACAAGTGATTGGTAGAAAGGAACTAGCTTGAACATAATCAGATACCCATTAACTGAAATGACTTAATGTGTAATGTATCTGTATCTGTATGTTCGTCCGTTGTTGGTATGCGATGGGTAAAGGGGAATTGAAAAGTACCGACTGGCGGGAATAGCCAAACGCGGCTATTCTCACCGATTACCTGATGTTCTCACCACAATTCTATTTTTTGCACTATATTGATTTTTGGTGTGTTGGAGTGGTTCACACTAGGTGATAGTAGCACCAAAATTATACTTTGTTTCCCTAAAAAACTTTTATTTGTAGATTACCTGATGTTCGTTGGATTGATTGTAAGAGCGATTGACCGAAAGATGCAGTCTGCGGGAAAGCCGCGAGGATGACGGCCGGAAGATTGCTGTCGGGGACCGGAAGTTCAGCTGGTAAGGGGGAGGACCCGTGAACAGCGTGCATATACGGCAAGGTAGGAAGGGGGGAGTAGAGTTTATATAGGAACGCTAACTCCTCCCACAAATACAGGCCTTCGGCCTTAAACGTATATATCTCATAATACAGTTAGAATGAAATTACACACATATATATATATATATATATATATATATATTTATATATTATATTTTTGTATTTTAATAAAATTGATATTAATATATATATATATATATATATATACTGATCAAAAAAATAAAAGGGAACACTTAAACAACACAATGTAACTCCCAGTCAATCACATTTATGTGAAATCAAACTGTCCACTTAGGAAGCAACACTGACTGACAATCAATTTCACATGCTGTTGTGCAAATTGGATAGACAACAGGTGGACATTATAGGCAATTAGCAAGATACCCCCAATAAAAGAGTGGTTCTGCAGGTGGTGACCACAGACCACTTCACAGTTCCTATGTTTCCTGGCTGATGTTCTGGTCACTTTTGAATGCTGGTGGTGCTTTCACTCTAGTGGTAGCATGAGACGGAGTCTACAACCCACACAAGTGGCTCAGGTAGTGCAGCTCATCCAGGATGGCACATCAATGCAAGCTGTGGCAAGAAGGTTTGCTGTGTCTGTCAGCGTAGTGTCCAGAGCATGGAGGCGCTACCAGGAGACAGGCCAGTACATCAGGAAACATGGAGGAGGCCGTAGGAGGGCAACAACCCAGCAGCAGGACCACTACCTCTGCCTTTGTGCAAGGAGGAACAGGAGGAGCACTGACAGAGCCATGCAAAATGACCTCCAGCAGGGCACAAATGTGCATGTGTCTGCTCAAACGGTCAGAAACAGACTCCATGAGGGTGGTATGAGGGCCCGACGTCCACAGGTGGAACACCAAGATTGGCAAGTTCGCCACTGTTGCCCTGTGCTCTTCACAGATGAAAGCAGGTTCACACTGAGCACATATGACAGACGTGACAGAGTCTGGAGATCCCGTGGAGAACGTTCTGCTGCCTGCAACATCCTCCAGCATGACCGGTTTGGCAGTGGGTCAGTAATGGTGTGGGGTGGCATTTCTTTGGGAGGCTGCACAGCCCTTCGTGTGCTTGCCAGAGGTAGCCTGACTGCCATTAGGTACCGAGATGAGATCCTCAGACCCTTTGTGAGACCATATGCTGGTGCGGTTGGCCCTGGGTTCCTCCTAATGCAAGACAATGCTAGACCTCATGTGTCAGCTATGGTGATGCTATGGACTGGCCCGCCCATTCCCCAGACCTGAATCCAATTGAGCGCATCTGGGACATCATGTCTCGCTCCATCCACCAACGTCACATTGCACTACAGACTGTCCAGGAATTGGCAGATGCTTAAGTCCAGGTCTGGGAGGAGATCCCTCAGGAGACCATCCACCACCTCACCAGGAGCATGCACAGGCGTTGTAGGGAGGTCATACAGGCACATGGAGGTCACACACACTACTGAGCCTCATTTTGATTT